CGGGGGCGGGATCGTGCCCCTGATTGGGCATCGTGTCCCGAAAGGAGGCGGGGCGGAAGAGCTGCGCCTGCGCGCTCTCCGCTCGCTGGGTGCGGCAGGGAAGGGGCGTCCTTTCCTGCGCTGCGCAGCCGCTGATTGGAGTACGTAGATCTATGCAAACGTTTCCTGGGAAGGGGGTCCTTAAAGGATCGTGCGGCCTCCGCCTCGTAGTCGGCAGGTGGCGCTCGCGTGCTCCCTCCGGGCCGATTGAGCTGGCTGGAGAACCGATTAAGCCCTTCCTTTCATATCTCAGTCTCTGCAACTTTAAGACGCATGGATGGCTGGGGAATTCTGGGAGTTGAAGTCCACCCATCCTAAAGTTGCCAAGTTTGAGGAACCCTGCTATAGAGCTGCATGCACGCATTCAGAACAGGGCTGGGGCTGTTGGGGCCCACCATTCGCTCCAACATCATTGCCTCCCAGCTCTGAAATGCTGGGAATTCTGGGAGTTGAAGTCCACAGAGTTAAAGTTGCTGAGGTTGAGGAACGCTGGCGTAAGCTACACCATGTTAAATGAAAGGTGACCTCTTTCAACCCTTGGTCTAACTCCCCTGCCCTTCTCATTAAGGCACGATGTGAAAACAGTCAGCTATTTTCTTAAGCCAGTGCAAATAATGGTACGGGAGAAGAGGGATACAAGAAATCAGCGCTACATAACTGTGCAATTTCTTATCCTTTGATCTATGCACTTATTATTTTATTGCTTGCTCGAGGATGTGTAAGATGCTTGCTATAGATATACTAATTGGGAAACAATCGGTCCAAGTCTTGCCCTTGCTCTGTGTCAATAAAAGCTTACTGCTTGCATAATCAGAGAGTTGTCTCTATTCCCTAATGAACCTTAGTGACCTTTTCTCCAACATCCATCTAATAAAAAAATGAAAAGAAATTATCAAGGCATGTTCCTAAAAAGAAATGTTTGTTTTCATTTAAATTAATCAGTTAACTGATCAGTCCAACCTTGCACTGGATCCTCACGAGGGGACCCATGGCTACCGGCTTGGTACTGTTGGAATATTTTTCTTATACATAGTAATGCTGATTCCTGTCAGAATAAGCAAGCCATATATCATGTAGCAAAATCTATGTAAAGGAAGACATATATCTTATGTATAAAAAAATCACATGTATAGGAAAGATAAAATGCCCATGGTTTTAGCTCTAGATAAAGAGACATCTGCTTAACCATAAGTAAGGAAGTTTGCCATAACTTTAAGATAAGGAAACATCTGTTTTAACAGAATAGGAAAGGAAGATGTTCATGCTGATAGAGCAGAAACTATCCATTAAGGTGACGCATTTCATTCTATTAATAATGATTGGCTACATTTTTAAACTAAAAGACCTATAAAAAGGATGGAGAAGCAATCCCTGTTTTTGGCCGCCCATCCAAAGACAACTTTGGGTGAATAAACATCCTTTGGCCTCCACTGATCATCTGGTTTGCTTTATTCCCAGCTTGGGAAAGGAACAAAGACAGATTTAAGGAAGGAGTTAATCCTTCTGCCAGTATGCAGAGCAAGGCTCGGTTATTCAGTTCCAACCACAGAGGCTTCTGCAGGGATGGTGGACAAGGGATGAAACGTGTGTCGTGATATCATGACAGAAGCTCCACCAGTGTGTTCTTGCGTCTGACATCAGAGGCAAGTAGAGACGGCAAGAGATTGCCTTGTGACATCAGGACAGACATTGTGCTGTTTTTCCATCGCTATGGCTAGTTACGCATATGCGTGTGCTGAAGTGAAAAAATAGTGGTGCAGATCAAGTTTCAGCCTCTGGCTAAGAATGACTGTCCTGTTGTTAAATGATTCACATCAAGCTACAGTAGGGGCTTTCATTGAGAAAAAAAATTTCCTCTTGTGCATAGAAAAGAAAGGGGAATATCTTTTCTAAAATTATAATCATTAAAGTTGCCTAATTTTTAACAAACTGATGCCAGCCTAATTAGTACCAGCCTTTTAATTAATCATATGGCTTTTTAACCATTTCATGTGGCTAATTAAATGTTGTCATTTTTGTTTCCTGATGCCATTCAAACTCTCTGTCTTGCTAGTCATTCATATATATCAACAACTTCAGAAGTGCTAAAGTAGGAATTGGAAGGCTGTTTTCATAAGGTGGTTCTGGTAGGAAGGCGCACGGCGTTTGCCTAAATCAGTGTTGTCCAAACTTGGCCACTTTAAGATGGGTGGACTTCAACTCCCATGGCTGGCTGGGCAATTCTGGGAGTTGAAGTCC